TGAGAGAATAAGGAGTACTTTACATTCTCTATGCCCTTCCTTAAAGGAAGGCTTATTGACAACCTTTGATATGCAAATGATACAACTTAGCTTACTGAAAGTGAAGAGGACTTGAAGCACTTGCTGATGAAGATCATTCGGTATGGATTACAATTCAATGCAAAGAAGACCAAATTCCTCACATTTGGACCAAGAGGTGACCTCATGATAAATGGAGAAAAGATTGACGTACCAAGCATTTTATCTTGCTTGGGTCCACAATCAATGCTCATGGAAGCAGCAGTCAAGAGGTCAAAAAATGCATCAGGTAAATCTGCTGCATATGACCTCTTTCGTGTATTGAAAAGCAAGGATGTTACTTTAAGAATAAGGTGCGCCTGTCCCAAGCCATAGTATTCTCATTTGTCTCTTATGCAGTTGAGAGTTGGACACTGAATAAGGAAGACCAAAGAAGAATCGATGCATTTGAATTGTGGTGCTGGAGAAGACTATTGAAAGTACTGTGGACTGCTAAAAGGACAAACCAATATATCTTGGAAGAAGTATGGCTAGAGTGCTTCCGAAAGTCAAGGATTTCGTCTAATGCACTTTGGACACGTTGTCAGGAGAGACCTGTCCCTGAGGATGACATTATGTCTGGTAAAGTTGAGGGGCAACAAAAAAGCAAAGGCCCCTAAGAAGATGGACTGACACAGTGGGTGCATCAATGGGCTCAAGCATAGGAACAATTGTGAGGATGCTTCAGGACCCGGTGGTGTTTCATTGTTGTGCTCTGGGTCAGATTCAACTCAATGGCACCTAAAAACAACGTGCCTGTCTTCATGCACTTGCAAGCTGTATGACCTTGGTCAAGTCCCTTTCTCACGTTCATTTCTGGAGTCATAGGATAAATCTTTATCCTTCTCCCAGGCTCTCTATCCCAATCTCCCCGTCACCAAGGTTACTGAAACAGGCCTTCTAACTCTTGATGTCCCAACCTCTTCATCTGTCACTTGCTATCGCACATGTCACCATACCCTGTACAAATGTCACTTTCTTGTGTTAGAGGCAAAAACAAAATGAGTTTCCCTTAAGTAATACTAAAGGGATGGAAATATTCCATAATTTCTCAGGTGATAGGAATTTCTACTTTATAGCTTGATCAAACATCTGGTTTTCACAGCTCTTTTTATTAGGCTCATTTTCAGGTAAAAATTACTTTTTCTTTTTATAGAAAATGGTCATAAATACAGTCATTATAGTGACAATGTATCAAATGCAAACAGCAAAATGTGGACACTGCACAGTTACATCATATACTTTTGATTTTTCCACGTAACTACACTGTATTTAGCAATTAATGACCATGCAAAGTTAAACATATATGAATATATGAAGCTATACTTATTCCTCATTTATCAACTACCTGACATTTCACATTTAAATAGTAAAAAATCTACTAACAATCTACTACCCACCTATTTTTCACATTAATGACAGATTTGGCCATAACAAATGGTGCAGTGAGTTCTTTAGTGTTAAAATTATGCAAGAATTTGGCTGGGCCATGATGCTTAGGGGCCTGGCAGTTAAATAGTGATGTAGTCATCTTCCATTTTGCAACCTGATGTGCTCCTTCTCCATTTTCAAATAATGACCAGGTCACTGAAACCTAACTGTGTCATAACTCCCACAAAATGACTGACAGGGACTGGTCCATTTACTATGCAAATAGTGGCCTGGAAATCATCCCCTGTAGTCCAGCTAGGGGGTTGGCTAATTTGTCCATCTTTCTACACTTAAATAAGAAGCCCTGGTGGCATAATGAGCTATATACACTGAGCTGCTAACCACAGGTCAGCATTTCAAATCCACCCGTCACTCCACAGGATAAACATGAGGCTGTCCACAGCTGTAAAAATTTAAAGTCTTGGCAACCCAAAGGGGAAGTCCTACTCTGCCCTACAAGGTTGATCTGAGTCAGAATCGACTGGATGTCAATAAGTTTGGTTTGGAGTGAGGCTTAACTAGGGGCCAATCCCACAAAGATTTTGGGAGATCTTGCTGCCATCAAGAAGAGTCTGCAGAGAAGGGTGTCCTTTGGGATCAAATCCTATGCTCAGCATCTTGTAGACCCAGAAGAGAGTCAGAATGCTGAAGAAGAAAGACAGCACGCTGGTCAGGCCTGGGAGGTGGAGATAGCTGTGCTGTGCTTGCTGCCTGACACACTTTCCCAGGCAGGGCAGAGGCCTGGATATGACCAGTGTAGCATGCCTGACCCTATGAGCAACATAGCAGGAGCCCCGCGGGCCCTCATGCAGTGCAGGCCTGGGTAGTATGGCAACAAGGGAAAAATTATGCTATGCAGGCCTGGCATGGTTCCTAGCATGGCAGGAGCCAGCAGCAGAAGCCAAGACAGGCCTAGCCACAGAGAGATCCTGTGCACGGGTATTCTTGTTGGTGAGGTGAGGCCCACGGGCAGAGAAGCTTCGGGAGGTACAGAGTGGTGGTGGCAGGCAGCCATGATGTAAACACCTACCCGATGGCGTAAGAACGAGGTACTTACATTCATGGGTCCCTGGAGGAAGGGGGTTCCCCTTTGAAATTCTGCTTCTAGTATTGACGGTTTGCTTTCTATAAATAAATAGGAGCCCTGGTGACCTAAGAGCCCTAAGATCAGAGGTTCAAACCCATTGGTCATTGGGGGGAGGGGTGACAGAGAGATGAGGCTGTCTGCTCCCATAAAGAGTTAAAGTCTTGGAAACCCAAAGAGGCAATTTTATTCTGTCCTTATAGGGTTGCTGAGTCAGAATTAAGCTGATGGCAGTGGACTTGGAATTTTTTTTATTTCTATAAACAAGCATTGCTTTCACTCTGCTAACATCATCTAAGTGTCTCATAAGTGTGGATCAATCACAGACAAATATAGCACCCATGGGTGGCTGGTGCCTATGGATATATGTGCCTCATTCCTTGTAATTTGGTGACTGCCTGGAAGTTTGAACCAGGGTGTCTGCATTTGCAGTGTACACAGATATGAATACAGGCTGAACATGGGTACTGTAAAACAAAAGAACAACTCATTGTCATCAAGTTGACTCTGACTGTTAATGACCCTGTAGGACAGAGCAGAACTGCCGCATAGGATTTCTGAGGCTGGAAATTCCTATAGAAGTAGGCTGCCACATCTTTCATCCTGGGTAGCTGGTAGGCTCCAACTGCTGACCCTTTGGTTCATAGCCCAGAGCATAACCACTGTGCCACCAAGGCTCTTTAGGAAGCAGGTATAAAGAAAACGAATTATAAAAAAAAGAAAGAAAACTAATTGTGAGGTAATAGTTTGACTTTCTGGGTATATCAGGGACAACATTTGGAGAAGCAGTGTACTGTGAAAAGAAACCCCAAGCTGACAAGAGCTATAACGTGGAAACGCAAGAGGGCATAGGCCTGCAGTACACCACGGGAGATGTGGCAACTCGGTTTCACAGTAGCAGTTAATGATTCTGGAGTTGTGGCATCACATTTCTCAGCTACTTTATGTTGAATCTTTTAGAATTTTCTAGTGAGTAGAAGGTGCTCATTCTAAATACACAGAGGCATTATTAGGTCAAGCTGGAAACGCAGTCCAGAGAACATTAATGGGTCACAATATGATACACAGAGTTTTCCTGCTAATGGCATGTTCTTTCTTGACTACAGAAACTCGGGCCTCATATCAGCATCCCTTCATTTATTTAGAGTTCAACTACAATTACTATTTAATAAAACATCACCAAGACAAACACTGCAATGCACAGTTGTAGAGAGGCATAGCCAAGCACAGCCTACTTCTCCCGGAACCGGCAATTATAATCATTTTACATTTTGAGATTAAAGTTGATATAATCAAAAGAGTTTTCCTTTGATTTCAGTGTTTCAGTGGCCCAAGAATGCACCCCCCGCACCCAAGAAAAAATTATTATTAAGGTTGGCACATTTCAAATTATGTCATGAGATTAGCATCTATAAAACTTAAGTACTCAACTAGAATTAGTTTCATTGTTGTTTTATGGTCTCTACAAGACTCAACTAACTCTACGGTGGTTTTGAGTTTAGGGCCTACAAATTAAGACTCCATAGTAATACTAGAACATTAGAGACAGGAGCTCGTGACTAAAGATTTTAAAACAGTTGTTCAATTGTCCGAATCACTAAACTACATAATATGTCTCAACTGTTTACAAAGAGCCGAAACAACCGGAGACACCTACCTAAGAGCACTGTTGAAGCTCTAGGATATAACTAAAGGTTTTGACAATGAGCCAAGGAAAATTTGCAGACACTAGTGGGTCTGTCTCATACTGAGAAATTGACAATGATTGGCCCCATTATCGAAATAATGATACATACTCTAAATGCTTTCAAATTTTCCTCCAGGAAACATGTACAATTATTCTGCTACATGTAGTTCGGATCTCAGGATGTAGATGAAGGAGTAAATGAGTGCAGGCTGCATGCTCTAGTGTTCATATAAGTTTCTAGAAAGAACTACACTTGCTTTTCTACGTTGGGAATGTCTCACCCTTCTAAGCAACTGAACAGAAGTGAACACCGAGTCTGACCTTAGTGACTCACCCTGACCAGCAGAATCACGTCAGCGTTGTCAGACTTTGGGAAACAGGGATATGATTCTTCACTCGGAGGATATAATCCTTTCCCGTCTCCCTACAATCCTCAGTCCTCAGAAAGACGTGCACTGCCGGACACACCTATTTTACGTGTTGACTCGCTACCGCGCTCCTTAGAGCTGGTGGAGAAGGGACAACGGCCCAGGCTCTGCTGACATCTTAACACACGTGGGCACAGAGCAACCCTGGGCCAGGTCGAGGAAGAGCACCCCAGTCAACATCTCCAAGCTGGAGAAAAAAGCAGCTGCCATTGTGTTGTGAGGTCCAGAACTTGCATCCAATTAAACAACAAAAACAAAACTGGTTATGACACCAGCGTCACTCTCCAGGATGAGGAGGTAAGAACATACGCACCGCATCTGTGATATCTATTTCATAGGCTCTCTGGAAAGTCTTGCGATCGAAGAACACCAGCTTGCCGCTGCCACGCCCCCGTTGAACAGAGGTGCCGGTGACAATGAGTTGGTCATCGGGACTGAAACAACAGTCAGTCCTGAGGGCAAAGAGTTTATAAATATAAGCTTGACACCACACCAAACAGTCATGCGTGAGC